GATTGTTCCATTTTTTTATGTGGCCGTGCTTAATTAGAAAAAGATTCCTGACCAAGAGTCAAGCCCCAGCCCCTGCCTCTGGGCCCCGTGTCTGAGTTGATGTGACAGCCCCGTGGCCTGGAAACAGGAAAAGCCCACATGAAGGAACAGCGCTCACACGGGCCATAAAAGCAGTCAAAACTGTGTCGTAAGATACCAACAAGTCACAGCAACTTAATCAAAGGAAGGAAGGCTAATGTATTTTAAGGACCAGAGGATGTCCAGGGACCCCAAAGACAGCAGGGCAGAAGGATTAGACCAAGAACTGGCAGGCCTGTCTGGAAGGTGAGCGGTCCTCAAGACTCACTGTGCTCTGCAGAAGAGGCTAATGATGAGTGTAGGAGCTCAGCTGATAGGAGGTGAACAAATGCATGAGTGTCCAGACATACCTTTGGTCCTCCTTGATACAAGTGTCCACAGAGTCTCATCTGCCTTAGAATGACTGGATTACCAAAGGCCCAGTTGGGCTCAGGACCTCATTCCATGACCCGAAAACCATGTTTGGACAGCAGGATCACACTATAACCACATGGCTGCCAGCAGCCCACTCCGAGCTGAGAGCAGATGATTGGATTATAGATAAAAACCATCACCCAAAGGATGCTTTGTGGACGGGGTGGGGGCAAATGCTGGGCTTCATGTGAGGGACGATGTCAGATCCTTCAGCTGTGAGAGCTGAGCATGCCTTGGAGGTCATCTAGACCCACTTCTTATTACTCATATAAGGAGGACAAGATTCGGAGAGAGAAACTGTTGGATGGGGTCCACTGTACTTAATGGCACTTCTGATTAGATGAAACAATGTCGGCACTGAGTTTCTTGGTTAAATGAGTACAAGTCGTGTGGTTCTTCTTTGCAACCATTTGTAACCATTGTTTAAATTCCTCTAAATTATGGTGCATGCTATGAGGTAAGGTTTGATTTCTATCTCACATTAGTGAAATCTATTCCAAGAGTTCTATGAAGTGGACTTTGGCCTGAATTATTTAGCAAAAGCCAAAGCTGGACTGTGAGAGTCTTCATACTTTGTCTGACAGGGAGCGGTGGCTGTTGTGGGTAAGAGAGATGAGACGTAGATGGACTAGACACCTGCCTGCCGTAGCCGGGTTTGCCTCATGTGGGTCTCAGTATGTTGAGGAATATTGCAGGGAAGAGAGAAAAGTGATGTGAGGAAATCTGCCGGAGTCAGAGGGCATTAGGGGTTGTCAGACCAGCAGGAGTCAGGCCCAAAGTGCTGAGATGTCATGGTACACGGAAGGCTTATGGTCATTCCAGATGGCTGGAGAGGAAGAGAACACAGTGACAGAGATAAACAGAAGCTGGAGTTAGATCAACAGGAGTTGGAAATGTAGATTTTTTACCAAATTTTACCAAAAACAAAAAGTTACCTTTGCTAGTTAGTTGTCAAATGGACACAAACTGAGACTCTTGGGAAGAAGGAACCTGAATTTAAGAATTGTCCCTATCAGATTGGTAATTACTTATGTGTGAGGGCCCCAGCCCACTGCAGGGGGCACCACCCCTAGGCAGATGGTTCTGGCTGGCCTAGAACGCAATCGCAATCGAGAAAATGGTACACAGCTTTCCTCTGTGGTTTCTGACTGCTCCTGCCCTCACTCCCCTGAGTGATGGGCTGTGATTAGGACTTCTAAGCTACCTAAACCCTTTCCTCCCCAATTTGGTTTTGGTCAGTGTTTTATCACAGCAACAGACAGCAATCTAGAACAGTACCATTGTGTGATGTTTGGGACTATGTAACACATTCCTCTGTGCTCTGTAAGGCTTGCCCTGGAAGCACTGAGAGAGGGAAACCAGGGTGAGCTGGGAACTAGGTGAGACGAGAAAGGGGAAAGATGGGGCTCTGAACTTAAGGAGGGCTGAGGGAATGGGGGCCAGGAGGAGTCACTGGCTTCCACCAGGGTGGGTATTGGTTGCATAGCCAGTGAGTAATTATCCAGGCCTCTTGTGTGATCTGGGTACCTAGGTGGATGGGTTGATGTTGTCCTGACTGAGCAACAGAAATGGAGAAAAGGCTGAGTTGTTTTGGGGGCTTAAGTCTAGGGCTGGTGAGAGACCTCTGTAGCCCACAGCCTGGGCCAACAGTACAACCAGAGCCATTGGCCATGGAGTGTAGGTAGGGATAGTGTCACCAGGCAAGTGTCAAGAGAAGAGAAAGGTCCAGAGGCCAGAGCATGCAGGGTCACTGAGGTAACAGAACAAGAAAACCACAGAAGAAGAGCCCGGAAGGAAAGGGAAGTTAGAGGTTTAGAAAGTCAAGGGCAGAGGGCAGTTTGAGGAAAGAGGAGGCCAAGACTGCCAAGAGACAGCATGGATGTCAACAGTCCAATGGCTCTGGCTGCCGGGCAGCCTTGCACAGTGCGACAGAGTCCTAGGAGGACCGAGGAATTGGCTCTTGTTTCTGCAGATCAACACGCAGTTTCAAACGGTGAGAGTGAAAATGCTTTCGTTTGAAGCACTCGTTTATAGATGGCAGCGTGCAGATTACAAGGTAGAACGCTTCCCTCCAGCTCCTCAGCAAGGCAGACCCGGATTTCAGTCTTGACCCCAGTGCAGTGCTCAGACCCGAGTGACGTCATGGAGCCTCAACATCTGTCTCTCTCTGCAGGTGGTCCCTTCCCTAGTCAGAGAGTCCAGGAATGGCCTGGGACAATCCTTGGCCCCCTCTACTGGGGCCTTTCCTCCTTCCCGCCTTCCTCCCTCTTTCCCTGTCTCCCCCCCCCCCCCCCCAACCCCCCCCCCCCATCTGCACTCGCCAGTTGACTTTGCTCCACTCTCCTCCCTCTCCACACACGTGAAAACCCAGGCTGTGTGCTGCAGCGGGACCCTCCTCTGTTCTGGGTACTGCTGAGTCCCCACCTCCATGAGTAGAGCCTCCTGTGCCCACAGTAGTTGTTCACTAAATGCTTGTTGAATGGACGACAGGAATGTCAACAGGTGGCAGTGGTCATGCTGCGAATGACTCCTGGGGGCCATGCTCAGGGTCGGCATGGGTCTCTTCTTTTTTTTTTAGATTATAAAAACTTCCTTTAATCAAGGTTTGTAACATGGAAGAGATTTGTCAGATAAAATGGAAAGTTTCCAATACATTGAAACATAAACCCTTAAGTCACCATAAATACAATACCCAACAGTAAAAACCACAACAGCAAATTCACACCATCCCTGTAAGAGCCATGATCTGATTTTCACATGCTTTCGGGAGATGGCAAACATGGCCTGCTGGACACAGAGCACAGTCGGGCTTTGAGGTCACACTCATCTGACAGGGCTGTGGCTCAAGAAGCAAAGCAGGTACCAGCATATTCAAACAGTGTATTGAACATCCTTTAATATCAAAGGGAGAAATAAGAAAGCAACATAATCACGCTATCAGCAAGATGGTAGGAAGTAAGGACAGCTGTGTAAAGCTTGAGGCTGAAAGGTGGTTCACCAGCTTCCTTTCTTTGGCTTCTTGGGTAATGGCCGCCGGAACAGTAAGATGTGAGTTCCTGGGTCATATAATGGACCCATCCCTGACTCTGCTGAATGCCAAAATTTCTCCATTCAGATTCAGACATCAAATGGGTTTTAGGGACCAGCTTGGCTATGTCCTTGGGCAACATGACATGCCGGTACTCGAACTCCTTGTCGTTGTATTTGTCCGAATAGTAAATCTGAGGCTCTCTCGCTGCCTCTCTAAGGCACTGATCGCTAATGGAGAATGGGGAACCTGATCATCATGCCTATGCTGAGGGTAAGAGAGTCACGGGTGGAGAGAAACTTCGTAAAGGAGCAATATGCAGAGGGAACTCAGCAGCAAGATTCCCAGAATTCCTGAGAAGTTCCAAACACTGGCAGTGGCAGATCCTCGCCTTGACATCTCCGTCATGGAAGCCAATCCAGACCTCAGAGTGCTCCCAGAGCCCACACCTGCAGAGGCCCCATAGACCTCACTGAAAAGCTGGGTTGGGGGGTGGATGGGAGGGGGAGCCATCTTCCCTTAGCAGAGCCGAGCCGATGTCCTCAAATCCCAGCCCTTGGCGGCTCATCAAGTGACAGAGAGCAGAGACTCCACGTGCTTTATTACACTTTGCATGTACAGTGACAGATGCTGTGTCACACTTTCCTCTTTAGATTGTCACCCCGCAGACTAACACAGAGGTGGGACGCAGTCGTGTATGGCTGCTCATGAGGAATGCGGGATTGGGTTGGGACCGGCCCCGCTTCCCAGCAGCCTGCTGGCCTGACACACTTTTTCTGAAGAGAAAGTCTGGTATCAACCCACAAATCTAAACTGAAACCGAACTACCAAACACCAACATGAATTAATTGGACCCGTGTATTTGTGCCTAGACCAGCATTCCCCCATTCCTTCCCCCGGGGCTGCTCTTTGTTGTCGCTGTATTTCATTTTCTACCCCCTTTTCATCTTGTGCTGTGTCCCTCCAAGATTCTCAGCATGGGCTTCAGATTCCAACCTCTTATGGGAAGCATATGTCTTGAGGAACATTCGGAGCCATGCTAAAGTTCCAGGGCCAGTTGTATCTCTGTGCCAGGATTAAGAACAACAGTTGTCTGTGGGGCTGGGAGGCCTCGCGGGCGGGGTCTGGGTCCTCAGAAGGGAGTGCAGGGCAGAGAGCAGTCCTGAGACATGTCTAAGCAGACCATTACAGAAGCCTGCAACCCTCAAAATGCAGAGAACAAGTAACCGCGCGGTGCCCTGCCCCAGCTGGTGCCTCTACTACACAACCCCTCCTCCTGAGGCTAGGGAAAGATTGCAAGAGCCAAAGGAACCGGAAGTCAGAAATGTCACGAAGTCCCATCAGCATGCCTGCCTACGCAGGATGGCCCTGTCTCAGTCCGTGTTCTGTTGCTGTGAAGAGACGCCATGACCACAGCCGCTCTTATAAGGGAACACGTTTAACTGGCTGCTATCTGACCTGATGATGTTCTGTTTTGCAGGTGAGCCGGCCCCATCCCAGTGACCATCCCCTCTTGATTCTCTTTGTGGTGGGCGGCGTCACAATCTCTGAAGCCAAAATGGTCAAAGACCTTGTAGCATCTCTGAAGCCGGGAACCCAGGTACTGCATCGTGGCTGACCTAGGAAGGAGTCCGGGGGCAGCGACGGGAAGGGTGGCAGGGTCTTCATGGTTCTTCCGGCTTGCTTGCTTCTCCGTCCGCTCCTTCTCCCCACATCCTATTACCTACCATGTTCTCCTTCTGCCTCCTTCCCCAAAGTCATCCTCCTGGCCAGACCAAGCCCACCCACACCTCCCCGGACAGCTTTTTGTTTTGTTTTTTTTTTTCTTTATGGTTAAGGACTTACCACTTTGGCAAAGTCCATTATAACTGGTTACGTTCTCACACCAAGCAAAGGGGTCCCTGTTGTTTGCATAATGAATGGTGCCAACCAAAAGCAGGGCAAGGCTGTAACCGTCAAAACCCTGTGACCTCCAGTCCCCAGCATCCTCCAGCCCCCAGCATCCTGTGTCCTCCCTCTAGCCCCACCTGCTACAAATTCTACAGCCTCCCAAACACAGAGCCTCCAGCTGAGGCCAAGGATTGAATTGCATGAGCCTGTGGAGACATTATACTTCCAAACTCTGATGCTGAGGGACTCCAGAGACCTCATCCTGTCTGTGGGAGTCAGGGGGAAAGAGGTTCAAGACGTCATCAAGACACTAGCTAATACTAAAGACCGTCCACACAGCTGCACAGGAGACAGCTGGGGGATGGTAGCATTCTAGCCCAGGCCTGCCTACCTGGGCGGTGATGTGGCTTCCTGCTGATTCCACATGCCCTGTGTATCCACCCAGCCAGCATTCTCTCCACAGGGTGACATTCTGCCAGCTGCTCCAGACTCTTCCGGGTCTGTACTGGCATCCCAATCCACACCGTGCAGTAAAGTTCTTGCCTGTTCCCTGCCTACTCCACATTTGCCAACATAGACTCTGCCACTGCCCCTTGAGGACAAAGGCTGGGCCTAGGCTTGAGTGTGTAGCAGGAGCTCGGTAAGCCTGGGTTTTAGTACATATATTTTGATTGTGAGCCTAGCCTTTAACGGCTGAGCCATCTCTCCAGCCCTTAGTACATATATTAAATCCAACAGAATTTGCTGGAAACAGTCTGTGGTGTTGAGTGCCCGAGCCTCAACAATGCCTTTGGTGAAATCAAGAAGACCCAATCTCTCTTTATATCCCGACTCGCAACTGGGAAAGACAAGATGGCTATTTAGGGAACAGGCTCAGGTCTGGGAATAGCCAGTCATTGTCTGTGACCCTTTCTACTATTATCATCAGAGCTGGTGAATTTCTGGAACTAATCATCCTAGCCTCATTTTGTACCCCTATGCCAGCAGAGTTAGGAATCTGTTTAATGAGGCCTTTTTTTTTTCCCCAAAAAAGTAAGTACCTTTCTGCTGTCCCTAACATGGGAACCACATTCCTAATTTCTTAGAACAAGTGTGCATTGAGACAGCCTGCCAGACACTATAATCCCTTCTCTAAAAGGATGGAGTGCAGATGCCTTCAAAGTCTGGTGACAGTATGGAGGCAAAAGCCAGAATCAGCAGTGGCTTTGCCAGTCTGGCCCTGTACCCATTCATCTGCAGACAGAGCATCTCACAGTGTTGGAGGCTTAAGGAACAGGCTTGACCACTCCTTGTCCTTGGTGTGAAAACTCCCTGAGGCGCTATCAGGCCCTAAGAGGATTCTCTCAGCAGCAGGGAAAAGCTGGGACAGCTCCTCCCCACAATGCCTTTGGTCTCTAAGCTTGTGGAGACAGGGGGATTGCCTGAGTGATGCTGGAGTGACATTCGCTGTCGCCCTCCCCTTCACCTGGCAGGTAGTAGCCACGCTAGCCAGCAGCTAATGGAAAGCTCAGCCTTCCGATTTTAGAAACAGCCTGGAATTCAGGCCTTGCTGTGTGCGCTGTATCCAGAATGGTATGTGCATCAGTTCCGTTCTCTGCTTGTGCTCACACTGCTGTTGGGAGTGTGTGAAGCCCGCTGAAGGAGCAGATTCCATAGAAGCAATGGACCAGGAGGCTGTCAAAGGCACTGCTGACCTATGTGTGAGCAGTATCCCTCCACACAGTGAAAGAAAGCCTCTACCATTCCACCCAGGGACGGATGATAAGAGAAAATACTAAGTCTTTCCTTGACTTGACTAAGGAGGGAAACTCTCCCAACCCACCCCAAACAGGTCAAGACCAAGTCAAGAGTCTCCTTAGGTTCCATTCCTCAAAGCGTGTGTGCTGGGTACCTGCTCAGTCTCCTCACTCTGCTATGTGGCATGGGGCCCTGTGGCCAGACGCTCCAGCCCGCTGAACTCTGTTGCTGTGGAATGGTGGTCATGAGGCCCACAGAAGCCTGTGATTGTGAGGTGTCCTTACCGAAAACAGCCAGGCCAGGAAAAGAAAGAAAGGACAAGCGTGCGAGCTACCTAGCTCTCAGCCGCTTTTCATCCGTGGGTGTGGACACCATGCCTCCACGCACTTCCACATGTCTGAAGCACAGTGTTCGGTGAGAATCACAAGCATTTAAAAACAAAACCTAAATCCAGAAATCTAGCCCTACACAATTCTGCATACATCTCTAGGGGCTCAGGGGAACCTAGGTACCGGCCTGCTCCAAATCATTATAAAATTGACGGGGAAGCCCAAGGATGCTGAGATCCGTGACATTAACAAAAACACCCAAACCAGAAGGGATGAAGCACAAAGGGATCTGGACTCCCACGGTGCAAGCTCTGCAGGAGAGCTGACCGCCAGCACTGACACCTGGGACCAGGTGGACACAGGTCTTCTGAAAAGGATAGCTGTCTCCCTGGATTAACCACTGAACATTTTAGGTTTTGGCACCAGTAGGTGGATGTGTACCCGTGTGAACAGTATAGCACGTGTACAAGCAGGGTGAGATCACACCTCCAATATCTGTGTGCAAAAACCATTGCTTCTGCTGGATGGATGAAGGGTCACATGGGCAGCTGTGCTGTGTGGTCACTTGATGGGGGTAATGGGGGGATGGGGAATTGGGCTTAGAAGAAAGGGGGGGAAATACTGCCTGCTCTTTTTGATTCTCAGTATTGGAAAACAAGGCGCTCTGATACCCAAATCGTAGGTTTTACTGCCATGTCTGCAGAAACAGAACAGAAAGGTGTTGGCATCTGCAAATCATAGTGTGGCTGGAGAAGAGGAATGTGAGCCAGCAGGCCTCCCAGGGCTGGGCCTCCCCAACTGAGTGCAGCACATGCCAAGCAGAGGGCTGCTGGAGGGACTTGGCGCCTTGGCTCTGGGGACACTAAGGTTGTCCGTGCCGTCTCACTGTCAGCCAGCATGTGAGTAAGCTCCATCTTGGGACAGTCTGTGGCAGAACCTCCACCGTCAGCCATGTTTGATAATGCCTGATCACAGTTGCCTGTGACTGCTGTGACTCTGCACAGACCAGTGATTTGTCTCTGCTAAATGCCGTTTTTCTGTTAGACTATGAGATCTATGGGCCGTCAGCAGTGACTCTCTCTGCCTGGGTGGTGCTTCAGGAGGTGTTGTGGTCAGTGACAGTGCACAATGCAGGGGAGGGTGTCCCAGGCAGCCCCTTGGGTCCCGGTGAAGAAGCTCTGACTTGTGAGTGCCACACATGGCAGGTGGCAGATGGAGCTGGGGCAGTCGGGAGCTGGGGAGTCCGGGTGAAACGCTGTTCACATTTGAATGACGCCAGGCCTGAGCTGAGACGGGGGAAAGTCACCGCAACCAAAAGAAGAATAAAGAGGAGAGAAGGGGAGCTGAGAAAGAGGACCAGAAATGTAGAGAACAGGGACCCTTTGTGGGCAAGGAGCGGGGTGGTCCCTGGAGTTTGTCTGTTGCCCAGGTCTCCTGTCAAAGGCCATCTCTCTGGAAGGCATTCTCCAACGTCAAATCAACCTCCATACTGGCCGTATTTAAAGCATTTACATTTCATCTGATAGGCCAGTTTCAAGCCCTTCTTGGCTTTTTTTTTTCCCCTCCCTTTGGAGCCAAGTTTTTAGAATGACAATTAGCCAAATAATGCAGACACAGTCTTGTTTGCATTAACTTAGAAAAAAAGAGAAAATGCTCAAAAGCGGTCTAATGTCAAACATGCCAAGGATGTAAACGTGCTGCTCATGGGCTAGAAAGATGTCCCAGCTGTTAAGAGCACTTGCTGCTCTTGCAGAGGACATGGGTTCAATTCCCAGCACTCCGAGGGCAGCTCACAGCCACCTGTCACTCCAGCTCCAGGGGACCTGACACTCTCTCCTGGCCTCCAAGGGCACACACACAGACATGCAGGCAAAACACTCACACACATGAAATGAAAAACATTCTGGATGCTTAAGGGTGGTAACCTGGTAGGGTGGGTGTAAACCCCGGTGGTGTGACCTGATCTGGTTTTAACCAGCAGCCTCAGACAGCAGGTTTCTCTGAACTGATGGAGTAAATATACAGTCATCTGACCGTCCCTCCGGAGGCCTTCCTGGGTGAAAAGCTTCCGGCTGTCCAGGGCTGAAGCCCTTGCCTCCTTCTCTGTGTGCCGGTTCTGCCCAGTCGGTTCTTTGACTCAGTCGTTTGTGAACTCACTGCTCTGTACCAGGCACCGTACTAAAGAAACAATGGGAGGAGGCGGTAAGACAAACAGCCACAGGGCATACTGGGGCTGGAGGGTGGGAGGCTGGTCCACGAAGGCTTGCTGGAGGGAGACATCTTAGCAGATTGAAAGGCCACAGAAAGAGTAGGGAACTCTGCCCAGATAACGGAACATCTCCAAAGAGCCAGTTTGGACACATGGGACTGACCATACAGAGCGATGGAGGAAAGAGCTGTTGAGAAGCCAGCGGGAAGCAGACTCCGCTCCGAGGCCTGGGATGCTGTCCTGGAGGCTGGGCTTATCAACGGTGGTGAGAAGAGAGTCCACTAAGTAACAGATTTACCCCGAAGGAGCACTCTGGCAACCTCCCCTCCCCTCCATCACTTAAGGGCTGCAGCAGGCGGCAAGGAGGGAAGGCAGGGGAGAAGCTGATGCCAGCAGCCGCCACCGGAAGCCCCTAGGGAGTCACCGGAAGCCCCTCGGGAGCCACCGGAAGCCCTCGGGAGCCTGCATTGTGCTCAGTGTTCTGCGCAGTGTTCATCCAGGGCCAGCAGTGTTAGTCATGCCTTAAAGATGAGAAAAGTGGGACTCGGAGTGAGTAAGCGACTGCTCCAGGGTAGGCAGCCGTAGCTGGGGTCCGGCTCAAGCTGGACATGCCTGAGCCTGCGCTCGCCATCCCAGCGCTCGCTCGGGAAGAGTCCCTGGACTCAGCCCTGCTCTCTCCCTTCCTCACAGGCCCCCTAACCTACTTCTCAAACTGCTTCTGTTTCCTGTTGTTTGTTTCCACCTGATGCAGAGCAGGCCCCAGACGCCCTCAGCTGTGGAGCTTAACAGGCTGTCACCTCATGGGCCTGCTTGTTTGGATGAGAGGAGCCTGATCGCTGTGTTTGCACTCAGAGCAAACCAATCCAGCATCTGTCAGCCGTGGCTGGGAGCCCAGCCCAGCCTGAGCGGGACAGGTTCTTTAGGCGCCATTGGCTGCTCTGTGTTGACATCAGCTGAGTTTGTAGCCAGCCCCACTCCCAAGTTCTGCCAACCTGACCGCAAGACCTGGTCTTCTTTGGAGACACACTCCATCCTCACTCCTGCCCTTACCCTCAGCTGCAGAGGAATCCACTAGCATTAGACCGGGTTGAGGACTGGGCGGGGCTGGCAGTGTGGCAGGGACTGGCAGGTCGTGGGGAAGGAGTATATTAACCACCGCTGGTCTCTCCTGCTTCACAGGGGTCTGCATCCAGAGGCTAGGGAAAGTGTGTGTGTGTGTGTGTGTGTGTGTGTGTGTGTGTGTGTGTGTGTGTGTGTGTGTACACGCAAGCATGTACGAAACCATAGGACAAACTCACCTGTTATTCTTCAGGACCTGTCGACCTTGTTTTTTGAGACAAGTTCTCTCAACTAAACTGGAGCTCATCAAGGAGGCCCTCTGGCCAGGGAACCCCAAGAACCTGTCTGTCCCTGCATTCCGAGTCCCAGGATTGCAGAAGCACCCCACCACACCCAGATTTCTCTTACAGATTCTGGGAGATGCACATTGTCCTCTTGATCGCACAGCATGCGCTTTGCCCACGGAAACATCTCCTCAGCCCTATGGATACATTTTAAAGTGGACTTCCTAACAATGCTGTACAAACCCCGTAACAGTCGCTAAAACTATATGAACCTGTATGTGTTTTTCCTGAAAATTCTGTGCTTTCAAGTGATTTGGAAGGAGATCTACAGACCCATCACAGAATCACAGTAGTTGAGCCCTTCCTAGGCTCTCAGCAGAGGAACTTACATAACCCCGGAGATGCGCTGCGAGCCTGGGTGTTCTTTTCTTCCTGGGATAGATGAGGTGGGAGAGGGAGGCTCAAGTAAAGTGACTATATTCCATCGGGAAGCCAGCCAGCCAGCAGCGGCGCTGAGCTCTGCCCAGCCTCTGGGGCAGCTCTGGCCTGGGAGCCCCCTGGCCACACACCTACATGCTTGGGTGGCGAGGGCATGCTGATAGTCACCACTGTCCTCAAACCCTCTTTGCGTAGATTTCAAGGAGAATGAGAAGTTCGGGTTTCAGTGGTTTTTTTTCCCCCTGCCAAAAATATGGGTTGGCTGGCATTAGCCATGTATTTCTTGAGATAGCTCTCTTCCAAGAACAATGCTTCAAAGGCAGAGAGGGGACTCTTTGACAAGGTCGTTAAAAAAAAAGTTATTTTCAAGAAGAAAAACAAAATTCTGAATGTTTCTTTTCTACTCCCTCCCTTGACCATGACCCTGCCCTGTTCTGCCTTGAGTTGGAATGTGGCCTCTGCTTTGCACCAATGAACTCGTTGAATTTGGAGTTGATTACTTCACTGATTTCACTCCACCTGGGATAACTTGGGGGGCAGGTGAGAGGACAGGGAGGTGTCCAACCTGCACCTGTCCAGCGTGGCACGGCCCGATGCAGCCCAGTCATGCTGCACTCTGGTGCTGGCCCGTGGAATTCCTTCTGGATCACCTCCCTAATTTCCCATGGGCAGTTTCCTATCGAGAAGTGTTAGTGCCTGCTTGGGCAGACCCTCACCTGGCCCTTACAGAGCAAAGCATGCCCCCAGGCAAGTCCTGGAACAAGCTGTCTTGGTGTTCTAGGGAGAAACTGGCCTGACATTGAAGTCCGGGCTGAGGGAAGTCACCCAGCATCAGCCAGGTGAGCCCAAAGGTCCTCACGGAGTAGGGTGTGTAAACATGAGCCACGCTGAGCAGCCAGGTTATAGATGAGGGAGCCTGTGCCACGTCTGCTTTCTTCAGGCCTCACCCCGTGCCTCCTTCCAAAGACCTTTCCTGGCCCCTGGTAACTGACCTCCCTGATTGTGCCTGTCCCGCTTGTTACAGGTGATCGTGCTGTCCACAAGACTCCTGAAGCCACTTAACATTCCTGAGCTGCTCTTTGCCACTGACCGGCTGCACCCAGACCTTGGCTTCTGACATCTAAGAGAAGATAAGACCTGTGTGAGCTGGAAATACCAATACCCATCTGTCACCATTCCAGATATGCCTCCAAAGCCAGTGTCCCCGTTACTAATTATAGGAATGACTTAATTCTACCAGAGAGGGCTTCATAACCAGGCAGAAGACCGCTTGTTTGGACGTCTCTTGTTCTTCCAGTGCAAAATAAAGACTGGAGTGTTCACCCTTCTTCTAAAGGTGTCAAGCTGTCTTTAGCTGACTTCACCTGTAGTCCTGTCAATTATCCCTCCCCCTTACTGTGATCTTCCTGAAGCGACAATCTTCCTGCAAGTCCATTAGCTCTGGGTAAATGCCTGCCTGCAAGCCGTGGCAGAGAGGAGCGTTATGGTTCGAAGTGAGTTAGGGAAAGTTAAATTTGCTTAGAATTCCCTGCTTGAGGAAAGCAGGATGGTCCTCGTGATAATGTAAGTGAGGAAGGGATGTCACAGACGGCGCCAGAGACTCGTTTCTCTCCCATGCCCACACATTTCTAACGACAAGGAAGGGAGGAGGGGCCTGGTGGCCTCCCTGAGTGGTAAATCACCCCAAGAGTGACAAAGGGCCGCTTTGTTCCAGTCGGTTCAAGGAGCAGGGCAGCCCCACTACTTGGAACAGCAGTGGGAGGGACGAGAGGGTGAGGGAGGACTGTCCTGCTGCAGATGCTTCCCTCAGGTCCAGAGGAAACCCCAGGTAGAAAAGATTTCCTCCCAGGGAGTCTAGATTGGAAGCACAACCCCCAAATGGCCTTTAGGATTCCGAATCCCTACCGAAATAGAAAGCGTTCTTCTGGGATGTTGTATTTTCTTTCTGGTCATAGCAGAAAAACCCAGACGCATCTAGTGAAATTATGTGAGAACTCCGGGGGGAAAGGAAGAAAGAACTACTTGGAACCCAGACATCGCTTACAGGTACATGGCGGATGGGAGTTCCTGGCATGAGGAATGGATGTCTGAAAGGAGATGAAGCTGGAAAACAATTTCTAGTGTGGATTAAGCAGGAAGACCAAATAAAATGTAAACCAAGACATGGCTATCATTTTAATTCTCTATTAAATGCTGTCATTTCAGGGAAGTAGAAAATTAGAATTGTGAGTTTAGAATCATTTTGAGATGAATGAAAGCTGATTTTTATGAAACTATGTGTTCGTTTTTACACCCACGTGTGCTTTCGACCTTCGCCAGTTCCTTGATGGTGCTGAACTATAAGGCAACTCTTTTTTAAATCTCAGTAAGCTGAAAGTCTTACGTTTGAATAAGGAAAAAATGGCATTAGTCTCAAAGAAATTACATGTATGCAGAGATAAGTACTTTATAAAATAAAGAAATTTAAAGTAACCTGCCATGTGACTCAAAACTGTATTCATTCATCCATTCATTCTCCAGTGTTGAATGGGAACCTGTGGAGAACATTCCAGACACTCTGAGAAGTTCTGAGCCACGCTTATCACAAACCAGACAGCACCCTGACTCCATGACACTCCCAGGATGCCTGGGTCCCTGGTGGGTTTCTTCTCAAGGTTAAGTTACACACCATATGTCTACATGCAAAGGGAATCTGAAAGTACCAAACCAAACTGCTCACCAGTAGTTAACATCTGGAAGACACAGCAAGGAGAACGTGGGAAAGAGGAGTCACCCCCCCCCATTACTTCTAGACTGTTTCAGTTTTTTACACCAAATACATATTTGTGTGTTGCTTTCGTGAGTTGAATAGTTTATCTTAGCAAGTTGTTTCCTACCTAGTAAAAGAATGGTCAGAAATTTCCACTCTTATAACATGATAAAGTTACCGGTTGCATTAGCATTCTAGAATGCTCTAACACTGAAGGAAGTATGGCCATGGCTGGTGTCGGGCTGGGTGGGTGGGAGAAGTGTGAAAAGTTTAGTTTGTAGCCATCCTCTTCCATCTCGGTGGCCACTGGCTGGAAGAAATGGACCAAGAAGATGGTCAGTGATGGAGGCTTTTGGAGACAGGTGAGCTGGAAGAAGGTGGTGATACCTGGAGTCTGGTTTGGAGAAGAAGACTGGAGAAACAGGAGAGAATCCTGATCCTTGATGTTAAACAGCAGGAGCATAATACAAGCTTGGTTGTCATCCTGTAAATGGCCGTGAACGAATGAGAGAAAGAGGGTGGCTTGGGCAGTGGAGCACTGTCCTGGGGCAGAGTCTCTGGGCACTATGTGGGTGTTTGCTCTTTTCCCAGATGAGGGCCGGGTCAAGGAGGATGCTAAGCATCCTCCCCCAGACTGAAGAAGCCCGCGGGTCAAGGCTCTGGGGTCCTCTCTGACTTTAGGTCCCAGTTATACCTCTCAGAGCACCATGGTTATCCAAGGCTGCACCAACATCCATGAAATAGATGCTAATGGAGCCTCCTTCCCGGAGGGGCTGCTGGGAAGCCGCCTCTAGTAGAATGGCTGGTACATGGCTCCAGGAAGGGTGGCTGTCACTGCTGAGGACACCAATGAGTTGCTCACAAAATGACGAAGCATCAAGAGGAGAATGATAGTGAGTGAGTAGAGAGTTTGAAAGCCTTTCTGGGGAAAGGGGAAATCTAACCAAGATGTAGGTCAAGAGCACATACTATATATCTGGTAGTTCATTTGTCCAGGTCTTAGCTGAACATGAAATTAGATGCCAGTAGGCCATACCACACTGGGTTTTGGTACAAACTGAAAGAGTGGTACTTAGAATATGGCTCAGGGACTGGGCAGTGGTGGTGCATGTCTTTAATCCCAGTAGAGCTAGGCAGATCTCTGTGAGTTCGAGACCAGCCTGGGTTACAGAGTAAGTTCCAGGAAAGGCTCCAAAGCTACACAAAGAAATCCTGTCTCAAAAAAACAAACAAAAAGAACATGGCTCAGAGTAAGGTGCTCAGTGCTCCAATGGTAGGCCAGCTTTCTGTCATGTGACAAAATATCTGAGAAAATCGACTTGCAGGAGAATATGATTTTAGCTCATGGTCTCAGAGGTGTCAGTCCACAGCCACTTGGCTCTGATGTTTCTGTGCCCGTGATGAGGCAGAGCATCATACATGATAAAGAATATGTAAGAGTGAAGACATGTTTGTCATATGATAGCCAGAAAATTGTGGAGGGGCTAAGGGCAGGGACAAAGTGCACACTCCCAGGACACAGCCCAGTGACCTGCTTCCTCTGGAGTCCAGTCTTCTAAAGTTCTACTACCTCCCAGTCTGGCAGCAAGTTGTGAGTCTCTCAATAGATTAATCCATTGATGAAATCAAGGCATTCATGATCCAGTTACCACTCCCCAAGGCCCCTCCTCTGAGTGCTACTGCACTGAGAGCCAAGTTCTCAACCCACGAGCCTTTGGAAGATGTTTTAGATCTAAGCATAATAATACCTAAGAATCACTGCCTGTGTTGGTTTGAAGGAAAATGGCCCCCAAAGGGAGTGGCACCATTAGGAGGTGTGGCCAAGTTGAAGTAGGTGTGGCCTTGTTGGAGGAAGTGTGTCACTGTGTGGGCGGGCTTTGAGGTCTCTCTTGCTCAAGCTTCACTCAGTGTGGTACTTAGTCTACTTCCTGTTGCCCACACATCAACGTGTAGCAGCTCCTTCTCCAGCACCATGTCTGCCTGCATGCCACGATGCTCCCCTGCCATGATAATAATGGACTAAACCTCTAACACTGTAAGCCACCACCTCAGTTAAATGTTTCTCCTTCATAAGAGTTGCATGGTCATGGTGTATCTTCACAGCAATAGAAACCCTAAGACACTACTACTAGTGTAGTAAGTGGATCATGAATGCCATGAATGTCGGATGATTGCCTATGCACATCCATGTTTCCAATAGAAACTTGTCCATCACTGTTAGTCAGAAAGCAGCTATGTGTTGTCTGGACTTGAAAGCTTCATTTACCATTTCCACATTATCCAGATGTATGAATTTTAAAGGGACCTCCCCCCCACCCCTGATGGTAGCCACCTGAAGCTGACACAAACGGTCCAGCTCAGGAGCTGAGCTGTGGTGCCTCTCAAACCTGAGTATATTTACCACCCTAACCGTGCTGGCCAAAGCAAGCGTACACAGGCCAATCTCCTACCAAGGGCCTTGCAGCCACATTTTCTTAAAAACACAATTAAGATCCCAGAGAATGCTTTGTGGAGACTGAGGTCTGCTCCTTTGGAGCCCTGACCCCATGAGCATAGGGCACAAGCAAAGTGTTTGGAAGTACTACTAGTCGGGCCCCATTCAGATAGTTGTTTGTGCCAGAGTCCGCACAGCTACACTGTTATTTCCATAACAAATAATTCCATACCCCCTCTCCCAAGACCACTATTGTTTCTTCTTACCCTGGTTACCAGAAACAGCATGTCAACAACAAAATAATCCAGTGTTACAAATGTGGTCTGTTGACTTGCCCAAGAAACATCAAAAAAACGCCATCTCTGCTTTGAAAGGAACTTCAGAAAACCAGATGGTGGGGAGGGGGCTTGCAAGCCAGGTCAGAAAGAGCAGGAGAGTGGCGGGGTCTCCCCACCCTCACCAATGACCCTAACCCCATTCTCTCCTCCAATTCAGGAACTGATGAGGACAAGAATAACCTGCTGAAACCGTCTCTCTTTGGACTTCCAGAGGAGTGCCCAGTTAACTTTCTGGCTTCTTTATTGTAAGCAGGCAGGCGCCTCCCTGCTGGGCTGTTTCCAGGAGGTTCTGGGAGCTCTCCACAGCTGCGTGCCTGCCATCTCTACTCTGCTAAGCAAGACCATAGTGTGCCAACTGCTCCATTGTGGGGATCTGCCCGCAACTTGTTCCCTTGCCCAGAAAATAGATTTTTTTTTCCTCTTGGAGTAAAAGATCAATGCTGAAATCCCTTCTTTTTTTCTTTTCTTTCTTTCTTTCTTTCTTTCTTTCTTTCTTTCTTTCTTTCTTTCTTTCTTTCTTTCTTTCTTTCTTTCTTTTCTTTTTTTGTAAATAAGGGGCTCTCTATAAACACAGCCATAGCCCCTAAAGTTCGGAGTTCTGAGCTGCCGGACAGACAACCTCTGGAGCTGGATGAGGACGGACAGAAGGCCATTTCACAGCCACCCTCCCAGCTTCCCCTGCCACTGTACAGCAGGCCCAGGCCCAGCCAGGGCTGCAAATGGTTTTCATTTGAGGCTGGGAGGGAACTAGAAAGCCAGACATCATGACAGACATGGGTTGGGCTCTGAGACAGAGCGGCTGGGAG